CTCCTCCTCCTCCACCTCCCCCTCCTCGTCCTCCTCCTCCTCCTCCTCCTCCTCCTCTTCTTCGTCCTCCTCCTCCTCCTCCTCGTCCTCCTCGTCGTCGTCCTCCTCCTCCGCCTCCGAAGCTTTCTCCGCCTGCTTCCTTTCCTTCTTCGACGCGGCAGTCGGTGCGCGGAGGGCAGGGCCTGCCCCCCTGGCGAGGTGGCGCCGCGCCAGAAGGTGGCCGTGGCCGGCGGGCCGGGCAGCGGCAAATCCTCGCTGCTGCTGGCGCTGGCGCGGCTGCTCGAGCCGCGCAGGTTCCGGGCCTCCGAGAGTCTGGGCGGCGAGCGAGGCGGGGGAGCCCAGACCCCCTCGAGAGGAGGAAAAAAGTCACGACGGGAGGTTTTCCATGCTTTCGGCCTCTGGGGGCCCCCGCTGGGGCTCCAGACCGTCACGCAACGACTCAGGATGAAGTACCGGTCCCAGGGAGTGCGTCCAGACTTCTGGGGGTCGACGTCATGAAAGATTCAGGACGTCGGGGGTCTGGTAGTGAGAAGGAGAAGGTCTTCTCAGAAGGTTCGGAAGCCCCCCGGCTTTCCGATATTTTTTTGAAGCGTTCTCCGCAAGCAGAAAGAAAAGCCTATCAGAAGGCACGAGAGCTTCTGAGATGTCCCGCCGCCTTCTCAGAAGGCCTTCCCCTTTTCATTTCCCCCCCTCGCTCGCCACCGATCCAAGATCCAAGATGGAGTCCGAGTAGATGGTCGAGGGCGGCAAAGAGTCGAGTAAGGGATCGACCTATTTGTGCCCCCCCCCCCTTTTGGACACCCCCCCCCTCTTGGACGCCCCCGTAGGGGGTCGGACCCCACAGGCGTCACCCCAACATATTAATACTAAATGTGCGTCGTACCCCCACGCGCGACGCGCGCACCGAGAAGTCCTTCCTATATATATATATATATATATATATGCGTCGTGGCGGGCGCTTTCTGGCCGTCCCGCTCGGGAAACGAGATTCTACAGGGTGGTTCTGCGATAATGTTCGGGCCGGGCGCACGCCTCCAAGGAGGACACATGGTACTGGTTTGTCCTTGTGCGCGATGCCTTGATTTTTTGAACGCGAGGGCCCCCAGAGACCGAAAGCGGCCAACCCCCCCCCCCTCGGGATTTTCTTCGGGGATCGGCGCTCGATCCATGCCTCTCTGCTGCTGCCCCCCACTCCGGCCGGCATGGGGGGCAGGGCATGGACAGAGGACAGCCGGGAGCTTTGCTCTTGTTCACGCCCCCACGCCGCCTCCTCGTAGAGCTGTGGCGCAAGCAGGGGTCATTGTGGAGGAGCCGTCGGCCCCCCACTTCACGACGCGAGCTGTCTGGGTTTGAGAGGCCTCCGGCAGGGGGTCCGTGGCGCTGGGCGGCGTGGACGTGTCCCGGGTCGGCCTGGGCGCCCTGCGCTCCGCGCTGGGCCTGGTGCCCCGGGAGCCCGCCGTGCTGCCCGGGACGCTGCGCTTCAACATGGACCCCGGCCTGGGGCTCAGCGGGCCGTTGGTCGGCCGAGGGGGGGGTGCATTCAGCTGGGCCTCCCAGTTGTCGTGGGCGGCCAAGAGGGGGGTGATGACTAGGGGGGGTGGATCTCATGGCGGGGGCCATGCTATCTTTTCAGATTTCGTGGCGCCTCGTCTTGTTGTACTACGTCCCTGCCCCCCCCGGGGCCGCGCACATGCCGCTAGCCATGATTTACGGCCCCCCCTCGTGGACGCCCCCCTCTTGGACGCCCCCGAGATGGGAGGGTGCATTCGTCTGGACCTCCCAAATGGGTTCCGAGCGGACTGGGTCGGAGGGTTGCGCCGCATCTCCCCGATGCATCGTCGGCGCCGCATCTCCCCGACGCATCGTCGATGGGGCTCGATGTGGAGCCCGATGTCCTCCACGCTGACGGCGCAGATGCATCGCCGACGTCGCCGAAGCCTCGGGGATGCGGCGCGATCCTCCGACGCCATCAGCTCGGGTCCCATCTGGGAGGCCCCTGGGTGGTCACGTCGGGGGCACCGGCCCGTGGGCCGGATCGGACGAGGAGGAGCCGCACGGACAGAACCTGCCCGAGGTCCGCGCGGATGGCTCCGACTGGCGCTGGGCAGAGCTGTTCCCGAGGAGGAGGAGGAGGAGGAGGAGGAGGAGGAGGAGGAGGAGGAGGAGGAGGAGGAGGAGGAGGAGGAGGAGGAGGAGGCCGACCGGAGGAGGCATGTGCTATGGAGGGAGCGGGTCCCGAGGGCCACGGGCCCCGAGGGCACGCGCCGCGGTCGGGCTCCCGGGGCCCTGCACGAGGGGGCAGTCACGGGAGAGGGCCAGCCGGAAGGACTGGCCCCGCGGCCCCCCTGCAGCCGTGCACCCGAAGCCGTGCACCCGAGGTCATTCTTGCTGAGGGCTCGGGGCAACGACAGGGCGGCGCTTGCACAGGGGGCATCCGATTCGCCCATTCCTCCTCGACCGGCGCCTGGGCGCCTCGGCCCGGGGACGCGCGGTTTCGCCATCGGGAGCCTGTCGCCAGTCGGTCGGCGATGCCTCGCCCGTTCCAAGTCAGTGTCTCACCCCCTGAGCCAGCCTCCCCCTCTCGGAAGAGGGGGATCGAGGATCGAGCTTCGAGGGCCGAGTGTCTGCTGCACGCTCATCGCTCTGTCTCGGGCCCCTGGGGGTGCTCCTCGTCGCTCCAGCGGAGTTCCCCTCGAGATTCTGGCCATAACTCACCTCGGGGGAGGTTCGGGGGTCGACTTTTTTAGTAGCGCTTCCCAGACCTCGCGTCGTGAGAACCCTGCGACGAAAGGTTTTTGGCCGTCCTCGTCTCCTCTGGGCCCCCGCTAGGCCCCGGGACCTTGAACGAATGGCTCGGGATGGGAAGCCGGTCCCGAGAAAGGGTGTGGACCTGCGGGGGTTCACGCTGTGGGACAAGGAGACGGTGCCGGGGGTTTGGGTTTGCCCAGCCCCTTTCGGCGGCGAGCGCGGGGGGGACGTGAGACGGGGAAGGCCTTCTCAGAAGGCGGCCTCCGTGCCTTCGGGGGCAGGCGCAGACAACTCCGCCGAAGGCCGGGGGGCTCTTCCGAGCCTCCCGAGGACCCCGAGCTCCGACGCTGCAGCAGAGGCTGCACCTCGTGCGAAAAGTCACGGCCGGACCGCTGGGCCCCAGCTCTCTGCGCCTCCTCCGCCTCCTCGTCCTCCTCCTCCTCCTCCTCCTCCTCCTCCTCCCTTCCTCTCCTCCTCCTCCTCCTCCTCCTCCTCCTCCTCCTCCTCCTCCTCCTCTTCCTCCTCCTCCTCCTCCTCCTCCTCGACCTGGGAGGGTCTCCCGGACCCCAGCTCTCTGCGCCTCTTCGTCGAGCCGCATATCGACCTGGGAGGGTCGCCCGGGGGCCCGGCCCGCCTCGCCTCCGCCCGGGGCCGCTCCGCCGAGGGGTTGGGCCGCCGCGAGCCCCCTTGGCAGGGGCCGGGCCTCGCAGAGGGCCGCTCCTCGCAGAGGGCCGCTCCTCGCAGTTTCCCCTGTGGGTGTGGCTGTCTCTGGTAGGTCTGGGGCGGAAAAGAGGGGGGTGATGACTAGGGGGGGGTGGATATCATGGCGCGGGCCATGATATCTCCGCAGATTTCATGGCGCTTCTTCTTATTTCATTACGTCCCTGGCCCCCCCGCTGGGCCGCGCACATGCCGCCGGTCATGATTTGCACCCCCCCCTCTTGGACACCCCCCTCTTGGCCGCTCCCGAGTAGGGAGCCACACGCGAACCATACCCCTACCCCCACGATTTTTGACGGGGAGGGTGGGGTTCACTTCGCTCGAGAGCTCCCGAACGAAGTGAGCCCCCCCCCCCTCAGAAATCGTGGGGGGTAAGGGTAGGGTTGGCGTGTGGTCCCCTACCCTGTGGGTGTGGCTGTCTCTGGTGCTGTGGCGCGGTGTCTCTTGGCTTGCCTCGCCGGTGAAGCCTGCGTGAAGTCTCACGGGGGGTGCGTGGAGCCCTTTGCTCTGCCAGGCTTGCAGGGCGCGAGCGCACAGCAGAAGGGTGGGCACTCTGCGGACGGCGCCGCCGGCACAAGGAAGGGAGGGCGCGCAGCAGGCCAAAGAGAAACAACGACAACAAAAACTCCTCGACCAGGAAACAAACGACACCACCCCACCTGCGGCCCTCCAGGCTGCGCTGCGGCCCATCGGGCGCCGCAGCGAATGCCACGCGAAAGCCCAAGCTGGACTTCCTGGTGTGCGCTGTCGCGTCGGCCGGCGGCGGCCCCGCCGCCAGCGTTCGACGTGGAATGCTCGCCGTGGGGGTAACGGGTCCTGAGGGAATCGGACGGGGTTGGGACGAGACAAAATCCGTTCCAGATCGTTCTGGAAGGCTCTCAGAGCGTTCCGGAAAGCTCTCAGAATGCCGCGGCGCCCGAGACATCCTCCAGAGCCCCAGAGCCGCCGGATCCCAGAGATTCTCTATGTATCCTCACCCGATTTCATCCTCGTCCTGGCTTCGTCTGAGGGAAACGGGTCCTGAGGTTTTTCGCCATTTTCGGGCTCTCGGGGCCCTCCACGGGTCCCGTCCGACGCGGCCTCATCGTGTCAAGGGAGGAAGAGCCACCCCGACCCCCATGACTGGCGTTTCCTCAACGGCCCTGGGCGTTTCCTAAGCAGCCCCGTCCCGTTTGACTGCTTCCCTGGGTGCGTTTACTGAACGGCTTCGCTTGTCGGGGTGCTAATTATGAGGGTGGTTTTCCTGCTATCTATCCTGGGCTGGCTACGGCAGGTTCGCGTCGTGTCGACCGGCGGCGACCCCGCCGCAGGCGTTCGACGTTGAACGCCGCTGGCGACCCAGAATCGCTCGAGTTTTGAACGATCTGACTTCTCGGAAACGGCTGGTCGTTCAAGGGTGAACGATCCCCGCTGTGTCAGAACCCAGCCCCGAAGCCGACACGACACGAACCTGCCGTACCCAGAGCTCCTGCCTGCGCCAGTGGCTGATCCTCTGAGGTCTCCCACTTCTTCCCTGGTGCCCTCTCTAGCCAGCAGGCAAGGCCCGGTCGAATCGAGCCGCTCCGCAAGCGGACGTGGGCAGAAGCTATAAGTTCGCGTGGGCGATTGAACATTGGCGTGCAGAATTGTATTCACAAGTCTTGCGCGCAGCCCTCGGCCTGCGCACGCCATGTCCTCCAGTCTCCAGACCTTTGGGGAGCCACGCTGTGAAGCAACACACGACGCCGGATGTCTGGGTCTTGGGGCGCACGTCCCGTCGAGCCTGGCCTCGGATAGCTGGGCATGTCAATCGGGGAGGGCCCTCGGGAAAAGCTAGGGGGTCACCAGAGAGCATTCGAGGCCCTGGGCTGGAGGAGGCGGAGGAGGAGGAGGAGGCGGAGGAGGAGGAGGAGGAGGAGGAGGCGGAGGCGGAGGCGGAGGCGGAGGCGGAGGTGGAGACGGAAGCGGAGGCGGAGGCGGAGGGGGAGGCGGAGGCGGAGGCGGAGGCGGAGGCGGAGGAGGAGGAGGAGGAGGAGGAGGAGGAGGAGGAGGAGGAGGAGGAGGAGGAGGAGGAGGAGGAGGAGGAGGAGGAGGAGGAGGAAGAGGCGGAGGAGGCGGAGGAGGAGGAGGAGGAGGAGGAGGCGCAGTGCCAGTCGGGGGCGCCGATTCGCGCTGCGGTCAGCAGGGTTTCGGCCGATTTGCCGCCCATTGGGGGCTGGCTGGCCATCGGGGGGGCGCGCGAAGGCGGGAGCTACACTGACGCGCACATGCTGCTCGTGCTCCGGTCCATGCGCGGCATGGGCAGGCTGGCGGACGATCCCGAGAGTCTCGACCGCGAGGTGGTCCGAATGGCCTGGGGGCTCAGATGATGTACAAGTTGTCAGAGGAGGAAAAGGTATCGATACCGCTACCCTTCACCGGTTTCCCCCGTTTTCGGCCTCCTCGGAGGCCCTCGCTGCCACTGCTGGATTCGCTTCGAAATTCTGGTCAGAACGCACCCTGGGAGAGGTCGGGGGAGTAGCAGTATCCGCACCTTCGGTTTTCCCACGGATGATATGCAATTTGGTTGTCTGCTCGATCTGAACGGGGCTTCACATACTTTGCGCGCGGGTGGCGTGCCGGTCTCTGTGGCGGACCACGCAGCGCAAAAGCATCGGTGCGACCCACATTCGGTCGACTCCACCGCCACTCCAGCAGAACAGTTGCGGTGGGCCAGCTTTCCCACAAAGTCACCTGGAGTGACAGTTTGGTGCTGTTTTCGGAGGGCCCCATTTTGAGCCGAGTTCTTGGTATCCTTCTTGTAGTCGCTGGGGCCATCTTAGATCATAGTACTTGGCCTTATTCTCAGGCTTTAGCATATTGGAGGTCCAGAAGGAGGACGAGGAGGGAGGGAGGGAGGCGGGGAGGGAGGGAGGGAGTAGGATCAGGGGACGAGAACTGAGGAGGAGGAGGAGGGGGAAGAGGAGGAGGAGGAGGAGGAGGAGGAGGAGGAGGAGGAGGAGGAGGAGGAGGAGGAGGAGGAGGAGTCGAGGATGAGGAAGATGATGATGATGACGATGACGACGACGATGATGATGGTGATGATGATGCTGATGATGATGATGATGATGATCATGATCATGATCATGATCATGATGATGAGGATGATGGTGATGATGATGATGAGGAGGAGGCGGGCGGAGGGAGGAGGAGGAGAGGAGGAGGCGAAGTGAGAGGGATGATGAGGATGAGGATGAGGATGAGTAGGATGATGATGATGACGATGACGATGATGATGATGATGATGATGATGATGATGATGATGATGATGATGATGATGATGATGATGATGATGATGATGATCATCGTGATGGTGATGGTGATGGTGATGGTGATGATGATGCTGATGATGATCATGATGATAATGATGATGATGCTGATGATGATGATGCTGATGCTGATGATGATGATGATGATGATGATGATGATGATGATGCTCATCATGATGATTCTGCTGCTGATGATGACGATGGTGACGGTGATGGTGATGGAGTTGGAGTTGCTGTTGGTGATGAGGGAGGAGGAGGAGGAGGGAGGAGGAGGAGGAGGAGGAGGAGGAGGAGGAGGAGGAGGAGGTCGGAGGAGGAGGAGGAGGAGGAGGAGGATGGGGAGGAGAAGGGAGAGGGATGATGGGGATGAGCATGAGGATGAGGGTGAGGATGAGGATGATGATGATGATGATGATGATGATGATGATGAAGGTGATTGTGATGATGATGATGATGATGATGATGATGATGATGATGATGGTGCTGATGATGATGATGATGATGATGATGATGATGATACAGATGATGCTGATGCTGCTGCTGCTGATGATGCTGATGATGGCGATGGTGATGGTGATGGTGATGGTGACGGTGACGATGTTGTTGTCGTTGTTGCTGCTGCTGTTGTTATTATTGTTGTTGTTGTTGTTGGTGTTGTTGTTGCTGTTGTTGAACATTATTTATTCTAAAGAATAATTATTGTTGGGCCCCCTGGTGCGCGCCCCCCCTGCGCCGCCTAGGCCGCAGCTACATTTTCATCATTTTCGTGAGGAAGCCTCAGAAAAGAGGGTGTGTACAGGATCCGGTTGTTTTGTTGTAATCCGCTTTCCCTTGCAAAAAACAATAGAAAATGACATTTCTTGTTCTAATATAATCAAATTTCAAGAATCCCTTGCAAAAAATAAGGTAAAGTGGACATTCGCGCGCGCAAGACGAAATCCTTCCAAAACCTTAGTGTTCGCAGCGATTTTAACATAAAAACATCAAAAAACCAATGGTTTTTCAACAAAAAATTGTCAAAATCTCATCCCGCGCGCTCTTGCGGATTCGTAGGAAACCCAACACTTTTTAAACATTTCTGTCAAACGGGCTTTTGCGAGCAACTTTTTCGAACTTCTGCGACAACGGTTGCGCACCTGCCAGGGCCATCATCCCTGTCAAATAATACCATGCGGGACACATTCGTTTTTTCTTCGCGCGCGCACGCCGTCGTCGTCGGCCGCGGGGCCCTGAATAGTAGCCACGGTCGTCCGCATGCCACGAAGTGAAGTGTCCGAACGTCATAGGGCGGGAAGCTGGGTGTGGGTGGTGGCGAGAGTCGTTTGGAAATTTGGTAGAGCTTGAACCGGCCCCCCCACAAAGTGGGGGTATTGCCCGCCTCCTATGAAAACCCTGGCACTGGTGAGAACGGAGTGTCCCCAGTCTTAAATGATTGTTGTTGTTGTTGTTGTTGTTGTTGTTGTTGTTGTTGTTGTTGAGTTGAACATTATTACTTCTAAAGAATAATTATTGTTGGGACCCCTGGTGCACGGCCCCCTCGCCGCGCCTAGGCCGCAGCCATGTTTTCATCATTTTCGTGAGGAAGTCTCCGGCAAAACGGGTTGGTCCGGATCCGGTTGTTTTGTTCCCCCCCGCTTTCCCTTGCAAAAAACAATATAAAATGACATTTCTTGTTCTACCATAACCAAACTTCAGGAATCCATTGCAAAAAATGACACAAAGTGCACATTCGCGCGCGCAAGACGAAATCCTTCCAAAACCTCAGTTTTCGTACCGATTTTAACATAAAAACATCAAACACCCAATGGTTTTTCAAAAAAAAGTTGTGAAAATTCTATCCTGCGCGCTCTTGCGGATTCGTAGGAAACCCAACACTTTTTTAACATTTCTGTCAAAAGGGCTTTTGCGAGCAACTTTTGCACGTGCTTCGAACTTCTGCAACAACGGTTGCGCACCTGCCAGGGCCATCATCCCTGTCAAATAATACCATGCGGGACACATTCGTTTTTTCTTCGCGCGCGCACGCCGAAATCATCAAAAACCATTGGGTTTCTTAAGAATTTTAGCACCGCGCATCATAAAATCACACGAATCGCACCGTAGGTCATCGAAAAACACCTGCACGAATTTTCAAAATTTCTACCCGCGCGCGCTGTCCGAATCCTAAAAAACCCGCTGGCCCTGAATAGTAGCCAAGGTCGTCCGCATGCCACGAGGTGAAGTGTCCGAACGTCATAGGGCGGGAAGCTGGGTGTGGGTGGTCGCGAAGAGTCGTTTGGAAGTTTGGTAGAGCTTGAACTGCCCCCCCACAAAGTGGGGGTATTGGCCGGCGTCCCATGAAAACCCTGGCACTGGTGAGAACGGTGTGTCCCCACGTGCTAGTAATTGTTGTTGTTGTTGTTGTTGCTGTCGTTGTTGATGAATACTCATTTCTAGAGAATATGTATTGTTGATCTCCGGAAACGGTTCCGCGCGCTCTCGCCTCGACGTTGGCTACATTTTCTCTGAAAGCGAGGCTCCCGCTCGAGCGTTGGCTCGAGCCTGAATGTGGGCCCTTAGAGGCCCAGGTACGACAACAACGGCTCCCGTTCGATACTTCCTCACAATTTACCGAGACACCCTGGCCGGAGAGGCCCCCGAACTCAGGAACGGCGCTCCCGCTCGAGATTTACTCGCTATTCAATCAAGCTGGCGGAGGCCCAGCCACGACGACAAGGGCGCCTACTCGATACTTCCTCACGATTTACTCCGAGAGGCCCTGGCCAAGAAGGCCCCCGAACTCAGGAACGGCGCTCTCGCTCGAGATCTCCTCGCAATTCAATTTAGTTGGCGGAGGCCCAGCCACGACGACAAGGTCTTCTCGATACTTCCTCACGATTTACTTCGAGAGCCCCTGGTCAAGAAAGGCCCCGAGCTCAGGAACGGCGCTCTCGTTCGAGACTTTCCCGTAGTTCAAACAAGTTGATGGAGGCCCAGACACGGCGACAAGGGCTCCCGTTCGATATTTCTCCTAATAGGTATTCCGAGAACCCCTGGCCAGAGAGGCCCCCGAACTCAGGAACGGCGCTCTCGCTCGAGACTTCTTCGCACTCCAGTCAGTGGCCGACAAGGAAGAGATTCCCCCCGAAAGGGGGTGCAGTCGAAGACGCGGTGGGCGGGTAGCGAGGGTTGGGGTATGCGGAATGTAAGACACGCCTGCCAGTAAAAGCGAACAGTTTTAAAGTCGTTGTTGTTGATGTTGTTGTTGTGGTTGACTATGCTGATGGTGATGATGCTGATGATGATGATTGACGATGCTGATGATCATTAGGATGGTGGTGGTGGTGGTGGTGGTGATGGTGATGATGATGATGATGAGGAGGAGGAGGAAAAGGAAGAGGATGAGGATGAGGCAGGAGGAAAGACGCATCAACGATTTTGCAATAATCTCTGGGTACAAGTTCCTCTTCATACCTTCCTATAAGAATTTATTCAGTTTGATTGTGGGAAGTGCAACGTTGGAAGACAACCATCTGATCATCGCGTCCCGACAATCCGAAGTCGTGCCAGAACCCCCATTCTTAATACTTCCGCCGTACGAGCCCTTAATGTATGATGCTCTCTCTTATCTCTCCCTTCTCCGCGCGCTCCTCAGTGCCTCTCAGAATTTCGGCCCAAGCCCCCCTCGCGGCCCCCTTCGGCGGGCGCCTCCTGCAGGCGCTCGCTCGGGCGGCCACTGATGGGGGCGGGCGAGCTGCTGTTCCGAGGTCTGCGGGCCGCGCTCTGCGAGTTGCTCGTGGGCCAGCCTCTCCCCTCGCTCGCGGACCTGGGCGCTTTCTCTGCGGAGCCACCGTGGCAGGGCTCGTTTCGATTCCTCCAGTTCGATTCGATTCGACTTCGACGGTCTCCGATTCCGATCCGATTCGATTTCGGATTCCGATTTGGGATCCGATTTCTCAATGGGGGCCTACTAGCCTGCCGATGTCTGCCGATTCGACTTTTCCCGACCCAGCTGCCGATTTCCGTCGATCCGATTCGGTTCGATTGCCGATCCG